GGAAGTGGGGAAGAGAGACGACAGAGGGGAAGTGAGCGCATGGAGAGGGATAGGAGGTAGGGGAGGGGAAGGGGGGGGAGCGCATGTGACTGAGGGGAATGACAGGAAAAATGTAATATCGTCAATCTTTAAACAGTGGAATCAGCATCCTATAGAATCAGACAATAAGGTTAGAGAAGGGAAGAGGGGAGGAGAGGGAGAGAGAGAGAGAGAGAGAGAGAGAGAGAGAGAGAGAGAGAGAGAGAGAGAGAGAGAGAGAGAGAGAGAGAGAGAGAGAGAGAGAGAGAAAGAGAGAGAGGACAGAGAGGGAGGAAGAGAGAGAGAGAAGAGGAGGGAGAGAGAGAAGGGGAGGGGAAGAGAAGAGAGTAGAAAGAGAAAGAGAAAGAGAAAGAGAGAGAAAGACACACAGACAAAAAAGACATCATCAAACAAATAAGAAAAAAAATAATAAAAGAACACAAAAACACACAAACAATCACCCAATACAACCCTCCCCCCTCAAAAAAAAAAAATAATAATAATTAAAAAAAAATAAATAAATAAAATAAATAAATAAACAAAAATAAATGAATCAAACAAAAAAGAAAACACGAGGAGACACAACAGAAAACGAGAACGAGGCGACCAATGACGTCACGGAAAACAAAAGAACATCCGCGCCTGAAAATTACAGCGTCAGTCGTGGTCTTGTCGCCTCCGGAGTGACAAGTCAACGCGCTGTAAGAAGACAGGTGTTGAGCGTTTGAGTCCGAGTTTTTTTTTCTTATTTATCTTTTGTCTTTTGTTTGCCAGCGTTGTGTTTGTGTTATTCGTTTTTTTTATCTTTCTTTTTTGTAACGCGTGTGAGGGTACAACTGCTGTGGTTAAATATGTGTGTGTGTGTGTGTGTGTGTGTGTGTGTGTGTGTGTGTGTGTGTGTGTGTGTGTGTGTGTGTGTGTGTGTGTGTGTGTGTGTGTGTGTGTCTGCGTACGTGTGTACCTGTGTATACCTGCGTGTGTGTGTGTGCCTGCGTCTATGTGTGCCTACGTGTGTGTGTGCTTGCGTTTGTGTGTACCTGCGTGTGTGTGTGTGCCTGCGTATGTGTGTACTTGCGTGTGTGCCTGTGCGTGTTTGTGTACGTACATGTATGTTCGTCCGCGCATACCTATACGTATACATGTGCAAACAAACCCACAGAACCGAACCTAATCCAACCCCCAAATCTTCCCCAACCCCCTTCCCTCCCCCCCTCCCCAAACCCCCTAACCCCCCCCCCCCCCCATCTTCCCGCAACCAAAGACAATAACAACGTCACGAAACAAATGGAACGGCTTCCGTATCTCAGCCTGCCGTACACCGTAACGACAGCGCGCGGGGAGAAATATTGCCCCAACGTACACATACATCCATAATAGCGCCGGAAGGATAACGGGAGAGAGAGAGGGGGATAACGGAAGGAGGGAGAGAGGAGGATAAAGGATAGAAAGAGAGAGAAAGAGAGGGATATAGGATAACGGGAGAGAGAGGGGGGATAGAGGAAGGAGGGAGAGAGGAGGATAAAGGATAGAAAGAGAGAGAAAGAGAGGGATATAGGATAGAGGGAGAGAGGGAGATAAAGGAAGGAGGGAGAGAGGAGGATAAAGGATAGAAAGAGAGAGAAAGAGAGGGATATAGATTAAAGGGAGAAAGGAATAAAGGATAGAATGGGAGAGAAAGAGAGGGATATAGGATAGAGGGAGAGAGGAAAAAAGGATAGAATGAGAGGGGGATAAAGGATAGAAAGAGAGAGAAAGAGAGGGATATAGGATAGAGGGAGAGAGGAATAAAAGGTAGAATGAGAGAGGGAGAGAGGAATAAAGGATAAAATGAGAGAGAGATATAGGATAGAGGGAGAGAGGAATAAAGGACAGAATAAGAGAGAGAGAGATAGGAGAAAGGGATAAACGGCAGAGGGAGAGAAGGACAAAGAACGGAAGGCGAGAAGGGAAAAACGATAGAGTGAGAGAGAGGGATAAAGTCCTACGGGGCGACAGGGATAACTACGACCGAGGTGGAATAAAAAGGGAATTCATAGTCACCGGCGACATTTGCATACGGGATCTGCATACGAGACCGGTCCACGCGCCAAGTGTCTTTTTCCTCCACTTTCTTTTTCTTTTCTCTTTCTTTTCTTTCCTTTTTTTTTTTTCTTTTTCTTCTTTCTCTCTCCCCATTTTTAGTATGGGTGTATTCGAAATCCTGGGGGCTCTGGAAGCGGCGGGTGATTCTCCAACCGGCTGCCGGCCACATCAGGATTTCTCTCCTTCGTCAGTTCTCCCTTCGTCAGTACTTCCCCCTTCGTCAGGATTTCTCCCTTCGTCAGGATTTCTCTCCTTCGTCAGGATTTCTCCCTTCGTCAGGATTTCTCTCCTTCGTCAGGATTTCTCTCCTCCGTCAGTAGTTCCCCCTCCGTCAGTAGTTCCCCCCCCCCCCGTCAATACCTCCCCCTCCGTCAGTACTCTTCCCTTCGTCAGTACTTACCACATAGGCGTGGGTGATCTGCTCTCTGAGAAGGCGTTCCTCCGAGAGCGAGTAGCGGGCTTCGTGCGTGAGGGCGTCGACGGGGCCCTTCTCCACCTGGTGCTTGATGGCCTTGTACAGCAGGAACAGCGAGGGGCCTGCTTGCTCCTGAAGGGGGGGAGGGGGAAGAGAGAGAGAAAGAGAGGATTATAGAAATTCAGTTTATGTGTTGTTAATGTTGTTATTAATATTGTTCTTAGTTGTATTTTCTGAATTTTCGTTCTATTTTCATTAATGTTCGCCCAATTCTTTTTTTTGGTAGAATTGGTATAACTTCATTTATAGTTATTTATATTTTTAGGGTATAATTAGTATAACTTCATATCTACATAAAATTATATATACATATATATTTGGGTAGAACTGGTAAAACTTTTTATACAGTTATTACTATTATTATTTTGTGTAGAAATGTTATAACTTCAAATATAATGATTTATATTTTTTGGGTAAAATTGGTATAGCCTCACACTTAACTATTCATATTTATACACAAATATATTCTGTAAATAAAGACCACCACAGAAAAAGACCCGAGCACCCTCCCTCCCTTCCCCTCCTTTCTTCCCTCCCTCCCTTCCCCTCCTTTCTTCCCTCCCTTCCCTTTCCTTCCCCTCCTCCCTCCCTCCCACCCTTCCCTTCCCTTCCCTTTCCTTCCTTTCCCTTCCCTTCCTTTCTTCCCTCCTTCCCTTCCTTTCCTTTATTCCCTTCCCTCCCTCCCCTTCCCTTTACCTTCCCTCTCGAACTCACCTTGAGGTAAGTGTACATGCAAAGCGTCATCCAGTTCGTGAGCATTTTCTCGACCACGCTCTCTGTCCGCCGGAGCATCAGCTGAGGGTGTTTGGTGGCCACGCTCTTGTCGATCAGCCGCAGGAGGAGCAGACGCAGCACCTCCGTCATGTACTCCATCCTCCCCGTCAGCGCCACCACCAGGAGGGACGCCACGTTCACTCTGGGGGTCGGGGGAGAACGTTGGGTTAGTTTGTGAGTACGTATGAATGTGTAGATATATATGTGTGGTACTGCGAGCACACGAAACACACACACATATAGGCAGGAAAGGCAGGCAGGCAGGCAGGCAGACAGACAGACAGACAGGCAGACAAACAGACAGACAGACAGTCAGACAAACAAACAGACAGACAGACAGACACGCGCGCGCGCTCGCACACACGCACACACACACACTCACACACACACACACACACACACGCACACACACATACACACACACACACAGACACACACACACACACACATACACAAACTTATTCACACACGCACCCCCCCCCCCCCGACACACACACACACCTCCAGTGCTTTCGAAAACACAGACCACTCCATTCCCAACTCACTTATCTCTGATGTTGAAGGTTTTCTGCGCCTCGAGAGTCTCAATGAATGCCAGAAAGAAGTATCGGTTGGTAATGAGCTGTTCGAACTGGATCATGGCACTGTCCATCGCCGGGCTGCAACCGTTCATCCGGAGCTGCAGTTGCAACAGAAAGAGAGAGAGAGGGAAGACTGCGTTATTTTGGGTGATAAAAAAAATTGGGTAAAATGTCTGAGATGGTTGGTATTGCTGTTATATATATATATATATATATATATATATATATATATATATATATATATATATATATATATATATTCTTTTTGTGTGTTTATATTCAAGGTGGTCTTAGGTAATGTTTATCTTGTATTAGCTATTTGAGTAATATTAATTTCATACTGTTAGTTCATCTGTATTTTTGGAGTTATTTCCTTCTATTTTCAAGGTAATTTGTTCAACATGTTTCACTGGTCAAGAAAGTTCGATTAGATTCCCAGATCATCGAGACAAATGAATCAACATCCTCATTAAAAACCATAATAAATTCCTTAACAGTAATCTTATACCGTTACCTCTATACACCAAATTCTATAAATCCTAAATCATTAACCTCATAACGTTACCCCTATACACCAAATTCCATAAATCCTATATCATTAACCTTCTATAGTTACTACACAACCACGACCTTTGACCCGGCTTACCTTGGGGTCGGCGAGGATGGGGTGGTCGACGACGCCGGGGAAGAAGACCTTCATGACGTAGGCGCGGTGGTCCAAGGTCGGGATGCCGGAGGACTCCAGGTCGGCGGTCAGGTCGGTCATGTCGGTCTGCAGCTCGGCGAAGGCTGTGGGAGGGAGGGAGAGAAAATAGAATTATGGGCGGAGGGGGAATGAAGGAATTTATTTATGACGTATCAGTTTTTTTTACAAAGAGAAATTGTGTGTTGGTAAGGTAGACAAGATGGAATTTGTTTACGTTATATTGTGTCTTTATAAATAGATGTGATGTAATGGAGTGGGATACGCGAAGGAAATTATTTGTATCGTGTTTTGGTTCCTTAATAAATAGTTGAGTTAGGGCGTGAAAGATGCTGTTGCAGAAAACGGGGTGCTGGATGCGTATCAGAGAAAACGGCTTTCTAGGGGTAACTATGGCATATCGATTACACAATTTATGTACAGACAAAATTAGAGAAAGACAAAAACAATTCACACTCCTGTTAACCATCTATCATTAAGCAAAAAAAAAAAAATAATAAAAAAATAAAATAATAATAATAATAAAAAATAAATAAATAAAAAGACAAAGAAATTATATAGAAACACTAAAATATCCACAAACGTAAGAGTTAGATAAACACGCATTTTCCAGACACCTTCATTAGAATGTCAGAGATAAGTTTCCTAAGTTATTCAGACCAAGACGCAAATAGGAAGGGAGAAGAGGAAGACTGGGAAAAGGGGGTGAGATAATACCCCAATAACGACGGTAGTCTTGTGTGCATATTTGGAGAAATGCTGAAAAAGATACATTCAAGAAGTCATATTGTAGCCCAACTCGTGACGAATAAATTCATCATTTATATAGAGTGTGTATATATGCATACATAAAAAAAACATAATTAAATATATGCGTACATACATTATATATATATATATATATATATATATATATATATATATATATATATATATATATATATATATATATATGCACACACACACATATATATAAGTGTGTGTGTGTGTGTGTGTGTGTGTGTGTGTGTGTGTGTGTGTGTGTGTGTGTGTGTGTGTGTGTGTGTGTGTGTGTGTGTGTGTGTGTGTGTGTGTACATGTTCATATACATATGAACATGTACATATATGCACATATGCGTGTGTGTATTATATATATACATATATATATATATACATATATATACATATATATATATATATATATATATATATATATATATATATATATATATATATATATATGTATATATACTGGATGAGTCTGAAACCAATATAGCATGTAGAAAACACATAGAAAAAAATAGAAGATAAAAAAATAATAAAAATCAACATAAACACACCCTAACAACTACAACCACACCTACCAACCCCAACAACCAACAACCGCACTCCACCGCCTCTCTCCTTCTCCTTCCTCACCTTGCTTGCACTCCGACCTGACGTTGGACTCCAGGGTGTCCATCTGGATCTGAATGCGCTTGTACTCTCGCTCGGCCTGGTTGCTCTTGCGCCGGTACACCACCAGGATCACCATGGACACCAGCACCAGGAAGAGCCCGCCGAAGGCCATGCCGCCGATCGCTTCGGGAGGGAACTGGTACTCCTGGGGAAAATGTAAAGGGGGGGGAGGTGAGAAAATTGGATTTTTTTTTTTTTTTTTTTTTTGGGGGGGGTGTGTGAATATTTTTTTGTATATATATTATAGGTAAGTCGGTTTATTCTTTACGCTTTTTTCTCCTTTAAAGGAAATTGTGAGAAACAGAAAACGGGAATTCTGTTTTTGTATAACTATATTTTTTTCTGGACTGACATCAGTAAATCAGATTTTTTTTTTCTTTAAAGATGGCATGCGAATATTATTTAAAAAATAAATAACAAAGAAATATGAAGCGAAATTTCATTTCTAAAAAACAAAGAATATAAAAAAAAACATCACAACCGAACATAATATCGTTTTCTATAAACGCCATAACTCCGAAAAAAACAACAAAAAAAAAACTTTCCCAAAAATGGCGCCTCACCTTTATCATCTCGTAGCGCAAGTGTCCGATGGAGAACCGCAGATTCTGACCCATCCTGACCACCACCAAGGGCAAGCCGGTGTCCGTGGCGTGACCTAGCTCGTCCGTCGGGGGAGGCTGACCTTCCGGAGGCGTGCACACGAGCTGGGTCAACGCTAGCGAGGTCACGTTGCATTGCCGCGTCCCGATGGTCACGTTCACGTCCGACTCGTCGCTCGCCAGGTTGAGGTTCACGCCCTAGGGGGAGGGGGGAGGGGAGGACAGGGGGGAGGTAGAGGTTAGGAATGTAAATTTTCTGGAAGTTTCTATTTGCAGATCGTTACTATTTTGTAAAGAAGGGGGCTTATTTTGTTGCAAAATAGAGTTTACGAGGAATTTGTAAGTTTAAATGTGTGTGTGTGTGTGTGTGTGTGTGTGTGTGTGTGTGTGTGTGTGTGTGTGTGTGTGTGTGTGTGTGTGTGTGTGTGTGTGTGTGTGTGTACATGTGCGTCTGCGTGTACGTGTACGTGTGCGTGTACGTGTACATGTACGTGTGCGTGTACGTATGCGTATAAGTGTACGTGTACATGTACGTACCCTCAGAAAAAAGCTAATCCCACCCTTAAAAGAACGAATAAAAAGACCCGGATCCCCGGCGCGTACCTCGATCACTAGCGTGTCGCCCTTGTAGAGCTTGATGCCGTTCGGGAACTTCTTGTAGGTCGGGTCGAGGACGTACATGAGGGAGGCGCGGGCGGAGGAGGGCAGGACGTGCTTCAAGTTCTTCACGGACGCCACGTTGTCCATGATGAACCCGACGTCGAGGAGGACGGAGTCGGCGTAGTTCTGGCGGGGGGACCTGGGGGGGGAGGGGAGTTTTCGTTAACTGATAGGATTGTGATTGTAAGATTGTATGACGATATTTTATATATGTTTGATATTCTAAAGTGGATGTGAATCTGTATTTCGAAAGGATATTTCTTGGGCTTATATTCCCTAACGAAGTGGAATTGATTTTGAAAATGGTAAACGTATTAAAACCAGATGCAGTTGTTCAGTGCCAGAACCGGCATGGCCAACGGCCTGGCAGGACGAGGCTCCTGAGGCGTGGCACTCACCTGGAGACCTTGTGCGACACCCTCCTCTCGGCCTTGGCGTCGTCCGGGCCGTCGGTGTCCCTCCGCTCGCGCATGAGCGCCATGAGGACCTGGCGGTTCACGTGCGGCGACGGGCACTCCATCTGGCTGGGGCTGACGACACGGCACGCCGACGAGTTGAGGATGCGGTCGTGCAGGAGGACGGTGATTCGCGGCGCCTGGATGGCGTCCAGGTTGCGGCCGTGTACCGTCATGAGGCGGCCGCCGCTCCAGGGGCTGCGCAGGGGCTTAAGCTCGAACACACGCGGGTCCGGCGTGTACGTGAAGGGCTCGGCCAGCACGCGGACGGCGTTGTCCACCTGCACGATGAGGCGCCGCGCCGTCCGGGGCAGCCCCGCGCCCTCCTTGCCGCCCTCGCTCGACGACAGCGACATGCGCGACGTCACGCACACCAGGCGTTGCGACGACGACTGCGTCTTGTTGACGACGCACGGCAGGTCGTCCAGCGTGGCCGAGACGTTCGAGCCCACGTTGAGGAACTTGCCGTTGACGGAGAGCACGGTGCCGCCCGACACGGGGCCCTTGGTCGGCCACACGCCCGTCACGCTCACGTTCTGCGGCACAGACGGAGGTTATCAACAGGGGAGCAAGCAAAAGGAAAGTCATTTTACAAATCTCAAGATACATGTGCCAGGGAGGCAGGCAAAGCACACAGGAGGCGGAAGCTCTACTCACGGTGTAGGTGAACTTGACGGTGGACTTGGTGGTGCCCGCCGGCGTCGTGACGCTGACGGGGAACTGCATGTCCTGCGAGGAGCCGCCGCTCCCCCCCTGGGTCGGCGCCGGCCCCGTCACACACGAGATCTTGACGGACACGTGGTACTCGTGCACGCGGCAGGGCACGTCGCCGATGAACACGTTGTCCCGCACGTCCTCCTCGCGCAGGCCCAGGTTGCTGCCCTCGATGGTGACGAGCGTGCCGCCCTCCAGGGGGCCCATCAGCGGCTGGATCTGCAAGGAGGAACATTTGGCTTTACCTAAACACCAAAAATAAACTGCACGTATTAACGGAAGAAACGGACGAAACATCGCGAATGACGTCCACCCTAATCGTTCCGCCCCGATGCGTGCGGGCGGCAAAAACGCGCATCTCCTTCCGCGCCGCGATTCCGAAACTTCAAACCCGGCCGAAGAAACGAAGAAAAAGAACATCCCCCTAAAAAAGGGAGAGAGAACATTCCGGCTGAAAACAACGAACGCGGACATAAGCCCCTCCCCCTTTATCCCCCCCCCTTCCCTGACCGCACAAACCTTCTCAACCCCAACTCTGTCAAATCATTTATCTGGAATTGAATAAAACAACCATCACTTATCGATATTAGACAACCCCGAAATCCGCGTCAAAATCCATGACGTCACGGCCTAATCCTTCTTGGGACTCGTCGCTTGATTGATGACGTCACCGCTGACAGCTGCGTGATGGATTGTGATTGGTCAGTTTTTGTACCCCGGGAACCAATCAGCGATGCTTAGTACGCAACGCCCGTCACATTGTTACCTCGTCATTTTTTTCTTCTTTTTCTTCTTCTATCTCCTCTTTTCCTTTCGCTTTTTTTTTTACCTGAATGGACTGCAACTCAACTGTGACCGATCTTGCAACAGTGGGTTTTCTATTTGGATTTTTATTTTCATTTTTTTATTTATCTATTGATCTTTTTATCAGTTACCTATTTATTTAGAAAATGGAACAAAACAAATGTAAATAATACTTCACGGATTCGCTTTGATGAAAGTCGAGAATGAGGGAAGAAAGGAAAGAAAAAGAAATAAAATACGATATTTTCCGCAACGATACATTTTGATTACATTAACGAAGTCAATTCTATATCCATCATCATTATTGTTTATTTTCTCCTCTCCTCCTCCTCCTCCTTCTCCTTCTCCTTCTCCTTCTCCTTCTTCTTCTTCTTCGTCTTCGTCTTCGTCTTCGTCTTCGTCTTCGTCTTCGTCTTCGTCTTCGTCTTCTTCTTCTTCTTCTTCTTCTTCTTCTTCTTCTTCTTCTTCTTCTCCTCCTCCTCCTCCTCCTCCTCCTCCTCCTCCTCCTCCTCCTCCTCCTCTTCCTCCTCCTTCTTCTTCTTTTTCCTCCTCCTCCTTCTATCCCTCAGGTTCTTTCTTTCCCTCATACCCTACGTCTTCTCCTCTTCTCTCTTTCATTTCTCCATCTACTTCTCCATTATCCTCTCTTTCTATCTTCTCCTTTTCTCTTTACTTCTTTCTTATCCTAACTTT